TATGGGGACCAAATGTCTCCACAAGGATAGTAATACTAGTAAATTTTGACCTTGTGGGGACATTTTTGAGGTCCGCATGAGGAAACAAGCTTATAAATCATGCAGAATTAGTTTTTTTGAGAGAGTAAAAATGCAGAAAGTTTCCTGTGAGGGGTAGGTTTAGGGGTAGGGTTGGTGTAGGGCAATAGCACATACAGTTTGTACAGTATAAAAAGATGGATATATTGTGTGTGTGTGTGTGTGTGTGTGTGTGTGTGTGTGTGTGTGTGTGTGTGTGTGTACTGCTCTTTTAATAATTTCTATGCAAATGTATTTATTATTATTATTATTATTTGACATATTGTGTGTATTCTGTCTGTTTTATGTTTTAATTCTTGTTTATTCAGTTTTTGTTTCCTTGTTTTTGACCTGATATGAAAAGGAGGAGGTGTGGCTTTCGCATTCAGGCATAGCATTCAAGCCCCTCTGCAACATTTTCTTTGTCTTAGTCCTCTAGGTGTTGACAGTTGTGTCATTCCGCCAAACATTTAATCTTGTGACATATCTATGTGAGCTTCGGTAATAATGACAGTGTTTGACAGACAAACAGGCTCTAGAAATAATCATGTTGCTTCATTTTGTGTTGTAATAGCCTAACTTATTATTTGTAACCTCCCCCCACTATTTATTGTTGTAGTGTTAAGATGGGCGTGAAGGAAATGGTTATTGAAGTGAATGGACTTCCAGACGAATACCCCAATAATAAAATGATTGACAAATTAACCATGCACTTTCTGAGACCCAGTAACAATGGTGGAGAGGTTTTAATAGTGATATATCCCACCTCCAACAAAGGCCAGGCTTATGTTGTTTTTGAATCAGAAGGTATGATACTATGCATTGATGTTCTGTTCTTATACATATATCTAAGTTTAACATCATATTTCATGACTAACATTTCTTTTTCTTTTTTTAATTCAATATCTTAGTACCCCGAGTCTTGGACCATAATCATGTTTTGGAACTGGATGGTCAGTTTTACCCACTGGATGTTAAAAAGATACATCAGCCTAAGGTAAGACATTTTATTGGTGAACTTTATTCTCCTATTATCTTGTTTTCAATTTGAATATGTATCTTTTGAGGGCCCCAGAGACATAAATCCAAATTTTGGTTTGCAGCTAAATGAATGCTTTCTGAAAGTAATGCTCTGGCACCATCTAGCGGTCAGAAAAACTATAACACACAGCTGAAATTATTTTCCAAATGCTTGGTTTACTTAAAGGGATCATATGATGCTTTTTTAAAGATCATTATTTTGTGTATTTGGTGTAACAGAATATGTTGACATGCTTTAATGTTCAAAAAACACATTATTTTTCAAATACTGTACATTATTGTAGGTCCTCTATGCCCCGCCTCTCTCAAACGCTTCGTTTTCTACAAAGTCCCTCCTTGTTTTTAATCTGCATACTACCATCATGTTTACATTGTATAGTGATGCTCTATTTAAATCTTTTTTGAGAGCAAGGGGGCCCCCTGATGGCCTGGTGGCCCTACACAACTTTCATACTTTGCATATAAGGAGGACCGGCACTGCACAAACTAAATAAATAACAGCCCAAAAGTGAGGCATGACACAGGTATTTCCTTAACATGCTTATTATGTTTTCTCAGTTTGATATGCCAGCTGAAGCATTCCTTGATGTGAGCATGTTCTACAGTCAGAAAAGGATCCGAAATCTTCTTCATAGCCACGGCTTTGATGTGTCAGAGACCAGTTCAGGACAGCTGCATTTGCAGGGAACCTTTCTTAACCTAAAACGCATCCATCCCAAACTCATGCATCTTCTGGCTCAAGAAACCCACTCGCAAAGAAGCACACCTTCGCAATGCACTAATGGCGTCTCATCTGACTCTGTATTCAGAGCTGTCTCCAGTGACTATGAATCTAGATCTCATTCAACATCGAGGCACAGTCACAACAATGGCCGCTCAGTGTATGCTGCGGGCAGAAACCCAGATTCTGGAATAAACTCAAGATCCCCAGAGTCCCCAAACAGGCAGGCACTCATGCAGGCTGCCTCTCCACTGGATGTTAGTTCAAGCGCAGAGAGTTCCTTCAGCAGTCCCACCAGGAGCTATGAGGATTCCAGCAAAAGCGCTCGGCAGCGGAATCCCTCATCTCACAGGAAAACTGAGGATACCTTCCCTGTGGATCCATTCGCGTTTAAATATGCAATGCACTTTAAGAAAGATTTTATTGAAAAAATACAATCTGATCACCAAACTCGTATTAACCATGTAGATGATTCAGGAGTTGTTATAGTTAAACTTTCAGGAGGATCCTGTGAGGAAGCAGGTAAAGAATTGCGTGAATTCATGCAGAACATCACCTCATCTTTACGCACGCAAGAAATAGACCTGCATAAACTTAGCAGCAGTCAAAGGAGACACATTACTGAGAAGGCTTACTCATTCCAAAAGATCTACAATGTTTTAATTAGGGAGGAAAAGGACATTCTCAAAGTGGTGGGTTCCTCTAAAGACAGTTATGACGCGAAGGAAAAGCTTCTTGGACAGGAAGCTAGCATTGCTTCGCCAAGACACTTTCTTTCTCACAACTTTCTGCGACGCAGCAGCTCTTTGCCAAAACAAAAAACAAGGCATAGAGAGGAGAACCCAGACTTGGGAGGAATTCCTGATGCTGTGTACACTACTACTGTTAGTAGCTCCTCTGCCTCACATTCCCGGACTGACTCTCAATTACAGCCAGAAGTACAACAGGAAAGAGGTCGCAAGTCCTCTAAATCCTCTAAATCCTCTGCACAATGTGGCAGGGCACACAGCGCCTCTCGATTACAACACAAAAATGAAAGCAGAGTAAACCAAGAACCATCAGCTTATGATGAGCAGAATTTGACACCCCCTAAAGAAGTTAAGACATCTAAACAAGGGCACATTCCTAAAATAATGGCTGCTTTTATTCCTAAACGAAAGATCAAGTTCAAAAACAAAAGTTAAAATTGTTAAAACAACATTAAAACATGAATTCCTCATAGCCTTTCATTGGAAAACACACTTTGAGACTTTTTAGAAGTCAGACACTTTGACACTACTTTAAGAGAGCAGTGGAATGCTGCTCTATGCTGATAGTTCAATTTGCTTAATAACATGTATATTCATGAGACAATTCTGGGTTCAGTACAAAAAGAAAATTAAAAATTGATTGATTGATTACCATGAAAATGAATTTCCACTTATTTAAAAGAAAAAAATCTGAATGGGGCTCATTGGTTATATGTCTTATGTCTTGTGGCTATACTCATTGGTTCAGTATAGCCACAAGACATGAAACAAAATAACATGGGCGCATAAGCATTGTTTACTACGTTTTTCTGTGTGAAGTTATATTTAATTTTAAAACACCTAACACAGCTGTAAAAATATCGAAACAACACAAAGAATGATAAGAACAGCTCAAATAATACTCAAATAATTTCAGTGCATTTATAACCATTATAAGCTTTACATTTCTGCTTTTAACCCCACCCATTTTTTTTTTGTGGTAATCAAAATTATGCCACAAATACTGTCAGTTGAGCTTAACCCGAAATATTACATTGTACTCAATTTTGCAGCAATCACTGTGATTATTTTTGAAATTATGTGATAAAGAAAAGGAGCATATTCATGTAACTTCCAATGTCTCCTGTCTACCTGTCTATTATTATTGCAGTACTTGCATTGTATTCAGCTTTTTTTTTTGTCAAGACTCTCCTTCATTACCATAGTGACTCAATGAGGAAGTGTCTTTTTCTGCATTCTACAGGAAGTGAGGCAGGCCCTGTGGTTGAATTAGGGACTGAGCACCTCCCTGTCAAAAAAAAAGGAAACAAGAGCTGAGGCTCTTGTGTTGAAACTGTTAAAATGTGAGAAATATATTATACAAATACATTTTCCTTATAATTAATGAAGCATTGATTATGATTTAATATTGTATGAATTGAGAATGTGTATTATCGAGTATTTCTATCAGATACAGTTTTCTGTTGTATAAAAAAATATATATCCCCCATGTTTTGGTCTGCTATTTAAGAATTTCGACAGTGGTCATTATGATTAACTGGTTGTCTTAACACTATTCTTTTTGGGCATTTGATTATTTTTAGGCATTACTGTAATGTAATCAAATGTCATTTCCTTGATCAACAGGTGACTAATGTTAATCTATGTGAAATAATCTATGACATTTGTAATAGTTATACATTAAATACTGTGAATAGTGACTCAATATTGGCTCATTCTCCGACTCTCACTCTCAAACTATTGTAATCACATAAACGTTCATTACAATAAACTGAATAAGGTGTTACTCATACCTAAAACATTTTCTTTTTTATTGTCAATAATTGTTTAATGTGTAAAAGTGGAATTGTCTTTAAAGGGTTAGTTCACCCAAAAATTACTCACCCTCATGTCGTTCCGAACCCATAAGACCTTCGTTTATTTTCGGAACACAAATTAATATATTTTTGGTGAAATCTGAGAGCTCTCTGACCCTCCATAGACCGCAATGCAACTGACAGGTTCAAGGCCCAGAAACGTAGCAAGGACATCAGTAAAATAATCCATGTGTCATCAGTAGTTCAACCGTAATTTTACGAAGCTACGAGAATACTTTTTGTGTGCAAAGATAACAAATATAATGACTTTATTAAACAATTCTCTTCCTCCAAATTCCACCATTATTGAGAGTGCCACATAAACAACGCATGCGCATGGTGCTGCTGACGCAGAACACACATGTCGTGGTACTCTCCATAATAGCGGAATACATGATTTGGAAGAGAAGAATTGTTGAATAAAGTTGTTCGTTTTTGTTTTCTTTGCGCACAAAAAGTATTCTCATAGGTTTGTCAAATTGCAGTTGAACCACTGATGTCACATGGACTATTTTACCGATGTACCGATGGGTCTGGGAACATTTCAGTTGCATTGCGGTCTATGGGAGGGTCAGAGAGCTCTCGGATTTCATCAAAAATATCTTAATTCGTGTTCCGAAGATGAAAGAAGGTTTTATGTGTTTGGAACGACATGAGTGTGAGTAATTAATGACAGGATTTAAATTTTTGGGTGAACTATTCCCTTTAAGTTAACAGACATAATGACATAACCTTTTGGCTTTAGAGCAGTAAATTAATTTTTGTCATGGACCTGAACTTTCAGCTCTCAAATGTCCTACCTTTTAAACTTAAATGCATTAAAATTGTGGTTGCCAACTATCTACTACCGTATTATTTGAACAGAATTTGTAGTTGTACATGTATTTAATAGAACGCAATTTGTAATATTGTGATTAAGAAGAAACAACATTAACTCAGTTAATAATACTATGGAACCATTCAAATTAACATGTTCAGTGATAGTATCACTGCTGATTGGTATCACAATTGCTCGCAGCACCCCTTTTTATTTCTCCATAAATGGCATGCTGTGCGTCCTTTCCTGTCTGTTTGTATCTTGTTTGGTCCTGTTGTTTATGGTTGTGAGTAAGTTTTGCAAGAATGGAACAGATCCTAGATTAGTGTGTGTGGGCAGCAAAACTCAGACTATGTGAGAGATCTAGCTCTTGACAGCAGTCTATGATCCAAACTCCCCTGTGATTGCAGGACCAGAGGAAGAGGGTGGGCTTTCGGAAATGCCATTCATCCTCTTGTAAGATAATGATCACTTATAGCTTATATTGTTGAATATGCATGACTAATTGTGCGTATAAAAAGCCAAAGTATGTGTTTTCATGTCAAATGACAACAAACATGGGGAAGGTTATGAATGGCAAAGGACTGAGCAAAACAGGTTTCGATAACAGGACAGAGGTTTAGTTAAGGTTTCGCTGTGGCTGCTTTCAGGGCCTGTGGTAGCTCAGCAAGATGAGAAATACTCTCGTGTTTAAAGATAGTTCCTTCTACCACATGCGTACAGAAATACGCACATACATATGCTGATATACTTTGGTATATATTTAGTTGGACTTCAGCACTACTTCCTCACAATTCAATTTAGCAAATTTCCAATTTAAGTATACTAAAAGTACAATTGCAGGGTATTTTTATATATGTAGTGTAATTAACATATACATTTTTTTACATTTTAGTATATTTATTTTTCACTAGGGTCTCAATAATATATCTAGATGCTTAGCTCTGTAGTTTTTTATTATGGAGGGCAAATATATATAATGCAATGGAATAAAATGATGACTGAGAGATACTCAAAAGCCTGATGGATCATATTTGATACATGATTTAACATGATTTTTTAAGAATTAAGTATGGGCAGTAAAGTAAAGCTAAGCTGCTTCAGTCCAGCAGGTGTTCATCTTAAAATATTATAATTGGGGCCCCGGTATACTTCAAGCAGAATCCAAGAACAAACTGGTGTGACGTCATTTTGATCAAAACCAAGCCAAAACCTATACAATCAAACCAAGACCTATGTATATAAAAGCTGGACCTATATAAAATCTTTTTTTGCTTTTATTTCTTCCATACCTCTTCCTTGCTGATTTTAGCGCATCTGTAAAACTGTTCGGAGCAGCAGAATTACTCTGTGATGAACCATGTACAGAGAGTTTGTCCACTGTGCGTTTAATAAGGGAAGAATAAAACTGATAAACAAAGACATTACTGTATGGATTAGACAAATCTCCTTGTGTTTCAGGTGAGAGCGGAGCAGGCAAGACTGAGGCAAGCAAGTACATTATGCAGTACATTGCAGCAATCACCAACCCTAACCAGAGAGCAGAGGTCGAGAGGTCAGTTTTCTGGGGATACTGGACTTTTTAGGGCTATTTTTCCTTTCCTTTTGTAGTTAATTTAGTGCTGGGCAACGATTAATTGCGAGTAATCACATCCAAAATAAAAGTTTTTGTTTATATAATATACAGTGGGTAAAATAATTATTGAACACCTATATTGCACCTATATTTCTCAGTAAATATATTTCTAAAGGTGCTGTTGACATGAAATGTTCACCAGATGTTGGTAACAATCCAAGTAATCCATACATACAAAGAAAACAAAACAAATAAGTTCAGAAATTAAGTTCTGTGTAATAAAATGGAATGACACAGGGAAAAAGTATTGAAGTACTGAAATGTATGTATGACAGCTTTAAGATGCCTCCTCTGTGGAGAAACTAGTGGCATGCATTGCTCAGGTGTGATTTTGGCCCATTCTTCCACAGAATCTTCAAATCTTGAAGGTTCTGTGGGCCTCTTCTATGAACTCTGATCTTTAGTTCTTATTTTCTATTGCATTCAAGTCATTCTAGCAGCTTTATTTTCTTTCTCTAAAACAAATTGAGAGGTTTCTTGGCTGTGTTTGGGATCATTGTCTTGCTGAAATGTCCACCCTTGTTTCATCTTCATCATCCTGGTACTGTAGGTGTTGGGACTGAACCAGCTAATATTAATTCCCACTGACTAGAGGCATGATGCTTTCGAATTACTGATAGATTTCTGCTGGTTTCTTGGCTTTCCATGCCTTTTTGCACCTACCTTTTGTCATGTGTTCAATACTTTTTCCCTGTGTCATTCAATTCTATTACACATAACTTAATTTCTGAACTTATTTGTTTTGTTTTCTTTGTGTGTATGGATTACTTGGGTTGTTACCGGCATCTGGTGAAAATTTCAAGTCAACAGCACCTTTAGAAATATATTTACTGAGAAAAATGGTGACGCATTCAATAATTATTTTACCCGCTGTAGGCTATGTGTGTGTGTACTGTGTATATTTATTATGTATATATAAAGACACACACATACAGTATATATTTAAAAAATATTTACATGTATATTTTTATATTGTTATATACAGTACATGTTTACATGTTATATTTATATTCATATAATTTATATTATATATATATATACATATTTTTCTTATATATATGCATGCATGTGTGTGTATTTATATATACATAATAAATATACACAGTACACACACATACACAAAAACTTTTATTTTGAATGCGATTAATCGCGATTAATCGCGATTAATCGTTGCCCAGCACTAAAGCATTTTATTGCTTTTATTACACAAAATATAAACTTAATATAGTAAAAACAGATTTGTAAGACAGATTATTTGAAAAGAAAATGCCAAATGTTCATGTTTAATGGACTGCTTAACTTAAACTTGGAGAAGAAGGCTGAACATCTTCTA